TAAGCTACTAGAAGCCAAATTACCTTCACTTAATTGTAACCTTAATTATATTATTATGTGGTTTCCTTTGTTTTTTGGCAGTTTATAGCAGTGATTGCAGATCTGTGCTGTATTGACTTAATTTATACTCAAGACTTAGTGTGATAAGTCACAACAAATAAGGCACTTTCAGAAAACATTTAAGAAAACACAATTGTAAAATAGCTGTGTATACATAAAGGCATCGTCAAGAAGTGTGCAGTTTGTCAGTATATCACATTGTCTGGATTTAAACATGAAAACAAATTTTAAGGCCGGCATGTGTTTTTTTCACTTTGCAGCATATAAATTAGGTTTATAAAACAATTACTTTCTCCTTCGTACTTTATGTCAAACAATTGGTAAATGTGTGATTTTTTTTTAATTCCGAAGATATAACTGTTAGAAAAAAATGCCATGAACTCAGTTTGTTTTTCTTGACTAAACCTACATTCCTGTGCCTTGCCTTTGCTCTTGTGTCAGAAGCCTCTGATGGTTTCTGTTTTCCTGACCATAGGTCAGATACTGGAATATAATTGTGCAGAAAACCCAACCATGAGCTTCATTTTGAGATTCAAGTGATTTAAAAAAAAACACATTTAATTCTGTCAAACCAACTCCTACAATGTATTTTGTTTAAAAATTTCAACTTTTTGAATGCTCAGTATAAGTCAATGATTCTCTGCATTACCGAATGTTAAAAGAGGGCACATAAAAGTTGTTGCACGGTATTTTCTATATTTCTTCCCTCAAAAATAGTAATCAACAGTGCCAGGATGAAATCAAGATATTTTTGTCAGAACTGTGTGATGAAAAATGGATTCCAAAACTAATGTTTCTAGCCGACATTACCATGCATATAAAGGAACTCAACCTTTGTTTGCAGGGAACAGATCAAACTTATGTTTTCTTTTCCAAAACGTGGAAGTCGTTTCTTGCAAAATGTGCCGTTTTCAGACTACAGACATCTCCCGACATTGACACCTTAACTTTCTGCTGTTTCCAAAATCTTAAAAGACTTTCAAAACATTGCACAATCTGTGTTGCTGAGTTTATGTAGATGCGAGAACTGGCAACAGATTTTTCTGTCATATTTCTGTCATATTTATCATATTTCCAGTATTTTGGCCTAAGGTTTTCATTTCTTATTAAACCATGCAGCTTTGATACCAGCGACAGGGATTTTGCTGTGTTTCAGTGGATGGGTTATGAGGAATTTTAAATTAACCTCAGTAAAGTTAGCTTGAAGTTCGATTTGCTTGATTTTTTAAAATTCATTTTTCTTTTACTTCAGTAACGTCTTAACAAAACCACCTAGAAATGTAAAACTTCTTGATTTTTGTTCAGGGTGATGTATGGAATTTTTCACAACTTTCACTACTAATTTTTTTAAATTTCAAAATGTTTTCTAGCTACATCTTATATAAACTGATATACTTCTGGTTTTAAATTAAGGCAACTCGATATGTTGTTTATTGTATCTTTTGGAAATTCATTAACTTTAACTGCGTAACTCAGCTCATTAGTTCCAGTCTGCTGACAGTCATCAAGAAATATGATGACAAGAGGTGTAAAAGTAACGAACATATTTGGACTTCAGCTTTCTGCTTGTGATGTTTTCAGACGGGTGTAGAGGATTTTCACATCTGCATCCCATACGTTTTGCCTAGTGTTACTTTGTCCTGAACCAGATTTCTGCTCTTAGCTGTCCTCAAGGGACCATAGTGTTGCTCCTAAGCAGTCAAAGGGTCATTAAGGGCATTCCTGGACAACTTTAGTATCATTATGTACTGTCTCTGCAAGCTGGAGTATTGATTTAAAAGGCTGGAGAGAGTTCTCAAAACAAACTGTTAAATACTACAAAAGAGAGCTTGCTTTTCTATCTATTCCACTGCCATTTGAGACTCACTGTGGCAAAATGCATATTGTAGTCTATGATTTGATATATTAAACAAGGAAAATTCAGAAAAGACCCTTTTTTTTAAATGCAAACATATAATGAAGTTCAGGCCATTCATAATATAAAAATAACTCTCCTAACTGATGTAACCACATCATAAATAACTCTTAAAAACAGACAGTTTAATTTTGTACCTTAACATTTTTTTATGCCGAGAAGAGATTTCACAAGAATGTCTTGTTTAATCTCTTCTATGTGACAGATACATCAAGCTTTATCTGGTCTTAACTGATGGCATTATATGCACTTATATGCACAGACACAAATTTGAGACTTAAAGTCTACAGCTAATTATATTTTCTTACCAGTATATAAGGATTTGTTTAATAAATGTCCAATAATTCTGGTTCAGATTCTACTTGGGTCTCTTTACAGTAACCTGACCTTAACTTAAACGAATGATAGATTGTATATTTCAGGGTGTTGCACCAGTTCTGAATGAATTGTTTCATTTGGCATAAATGTATGAACCCCCTAAGGTGGGTGCTCTATGGCTTGCACCATTAAATTAACAAATAACAAACAGTATTATGCTAGGAGGTTGAAGCTAGCATAAAATGCTTATTCAGGGTCTGCTTCATTAATTAATATTGTGTTTACATGAGTTGGTCAAAAACTGTATTGTTTTATAATAAGTAAATACGTTTTTTCTTTCTTTGTACAAAGCAGAGATAACATTACCTTTTCATAACTAATTTTCTAACTTTATAACTTGTTCTTCTTTCTCGTTTTGAGAATATCCATGGCATCACTGTCAGCTGATGGGCTATATGCAACAAGCTGTTGTCATGGAAATATGACATTGTGGAAGATGTAGCAAAGGAAATTAGAATTTTTTCTGCACATTATATTATTTATTTAGGCAGCAGTGTTAACATCTTGGAGCTTCACTTTGTCAGTTCTCAGACGCGAAGCAAGACTAGGTCTTGTCTATACTGGCCTGTAAACCTCCAGGGAAAATCTTGTGTTGTGTTCAAAGACCAGTGGGTGGCACACTGCCCTGTAGACCATAATTTCCAAATCCATTTCCTGGTTGGTGACCAGAGACAAGGTGGTGTCATTCTGGTGTCCTTTGGATGAGATACTGAACCATGGTCCTTACTACTTGGTTATTAAAGATCGTGTGGCATTTCTTGAAAGACTAAAGGTGTTAAATCCCAATATCGTGGCTAAATTATATCCTCATGGGTTGGTCTTCCTCAAGTTCTTTCTTGATTTCTATTTTCTGAAAAAAAAATGTGTGTTGAAATTCCATGGTGAGTGAAGCAGGTGACCTCCTATATGTCAAGTGCTTTGGAATTTTCTGGGATGAAAAGTGCTATATAAAGTGCTATATAAATGCAAGGAATTATTATTTTTAAATCTTTATGAAAGCCAAGGCTGTACGTTTATAGCTTAGTACTATTTTTATATATGCACATGAAATTAGCAGTAGCTCCGCTGTACTGTGTGTGTTATCCTTTGCATAACACAGCTTAACTGGGCTGGCATTTTGTATTGAGTTTTACTACTTTATACAATTAACATTTATCTAAAAAAATGCAGTGCTGTCTCATAATACAATAGTTTATTTCTTTATGGGACCAATAAATTGCTCTGCACTTCTTAATAGAAGAAACTATATTAGCAAAACTAACAGGATGATTGTCTTACACCATTTTGTCAGCACAGGCACAGCCTGGAATTACTTGTTGCAGCTCCAAATATTTCCCCCAGAAAGCAAAAAGTCACGTGTCTATCACTAGATTTAACTTTGGAAACTAGCAAATGTTGCAGTGAAACAGTCTTTTATGATTCTCATTAATCACACAAACAGCTGAATAAACACTGAAATTATGATAGCCTTCTGCCATGCTTCTGCTTGGTTCTAGAAAAAGAAGAACATCTTCTGAGTTCATAACTATGGTAACTCAGTCAGTATTAGACCACTGAAATTTAAGAGCAGTTTTATTGATCTTACAAAACTACTTGCTGGAGTGCTCCTCGTACCTTTTGACACTGGGAAAATGTGTGATGTTCAATTCTTTGCTCTTTAGAAATTGCTTTGGCAGAATGGGCCCCAGACGGTGCTTTAGAAATCAAAGATTTGTTCTTCTTCCAAGGACCCCAGTTGTCCCCAGAGGTTGTTATGGGAAGCCAATGGAGGGGCTTCAGAGTATGGATCTTTGGTATGCACGTCTATCTGGTAAACTGTGGGGAAGGGTTGATAAGGAACACCAAACAGGTTTAATATTGATTACTTGAATAAAAAGACCAAACTTTTTTTTGTATCTGTTACTCTAGGGAGGACCGGGACTTCAGGAGAAAAGGCTCATATCCACATCCGCACATGCGAGAACGTTCTCCTGTGCAGAAAGAGATCCCCTCCTTCAGAAATTCTCCAAGCAGCCGGCGGGAATCTCCACACAGCCGTTCTGGGTCCAGTTTGAGTAACAGGAGCTACTCACCTGAGAAAAAGAAAAGCTACTCCTACCAAGCTCAGCAGAAAAAAAGTATGTATGCAGTTTTACAAATGTGTTAGCCACTTTAATCACACCGTTCTTAAGAATTACTATTTCAGGTGTCGGGCATTGTAGACATTAGGGCTAATGAAATCGGTAACATGCAGAGACAATATGAATATCATTCATATAATAATGGATGTGTTGAAAGTTTCGTAACAGTTTGTTTTTTTTTTGCTAATTTGTAAAATGATAGAAGTTTGATCATTTTGCTGTTTTCATTATGATCAATCTGTAAAAGCCAAGTCATGAATATGGAACAACAAAGTAACCTAGAATACTGTGATCTGTTAAAATAGTACTCTACAACAAATGAAAAAAGAGTACCTATAGCAGCAATGGCCTGTGATGTTCTTCTGTTAGGTTAAGGACCTAACCAGTATTGAATGTCAGTCTGGTATGAACTGTCTTTGTAAGTCCATAACTTGTTTACCTAGAAATACCCTGGAATTTTTTTCCTCTGGTTAGATTTTATGCTGAACTACTGTAGGAAGCTGAATACATTATTATCCTGCATGGCATACAATTACTGAATTAACTTACATCCATCTTTTCTTGTAGTTTTTACCTTGCAGATGCATGTGTCATGATACTCTTTTTATAGCTCTATTTGTTAAGGGATATGCTACCGTTACGCTTAACAAAAAAAACTTTACCAAAAGTATAAGTTGTTAAACAGTTATTTAAATTCTGCTGATTCCCTGCCACAAAAACGGTTTGCAGTTTTGTGCAGCTAAGACCTCTTAGTTTATAAGAGAGAATCATTAATACTTCCATTTTAATGGATTTGCTGCCAGATTATTTTGAAGAAATGAATACTTCCAGGAATAAAAACTGTATTAAACCTCTTAATCTCATTATTCAAATCCACATTTAAAGATTTGTAATATACACAGCTTTATTGGTACCTGTAAAACAGAGTATGTTTCAGAGGATTGAAATAGCATGTATAAAGAGATAGTAGAATTGATTTTTTTTTACTGTAATCCTTAGACTCACTAATATATAATGAGCAGTTACTGATTTTTTTTTTACCCCAGGTAATGATGTTGTCTCATCTATAATTCACATATTATGAAGTGTGGTGGAGGTAAAAGCAAGACCTGGAATGAATTCTGAATTTTAGAGAAATATTTTGTGTTCTTATGTACAAAGAAAGGTATGGTTCCATACTTGCTGGGTAGAAATTCACCATGTGTCATGACAGTGACCAAAAATATATGGCCATTGCAGCCAAATAATTCATAAGGAGAAGAAAGCAGAACATCTTAAACAAGCTAAATCAATATCCAGATTTCAGTCTTAGTGAGCATGCGTTTTAGATGCAGTAGAAGTATAATGTCTTAGCACCACAGGAATTGACAAAAACTCAGAGGTGGGTAATGTAGTTAGCCTTCAAGTTAGGCTTATAGAGAGAGATGTTTCTTGTTCTAGAGCTTAATTGCTGATTGTGATGGTTTTTCCACTTTTTCTAAGTCAGTGAATAAGGCATTAAAATGTTCTTAAACGTAGGATATAGGGACTCACTATCTTTAATATCCTGTAACCAAAAACCCATGTTTCTAGAACATTTATGTTTAATCATTGTGAAGATGGAACATTTGTGGCTGTGGGAAATAAAATTGGGAAGGGCTTAGCTTTCTCTGCACTGAGAAAGCACAGATGACCCAGTATGGAACTGCGTATCACTAGTGAGAGAATTTTGGAAATCAAACAGGTTAGGATCTGTAGAACTATCCAAGAAAAGGTTCAAAGCAACAATCCTAGGAAGTTGTGTGTTAGTTTGATTGCCAGGTTTTTTTTTCCTATTTCAGTTTAATCTTTTCCTATTAAGCAGTTGAATTTATTTCTCATATTCTCACAGCACTTTGTGAATCCTTTCACTTTTGGCTACAAACTAATATTTAGGATAAGAAGGTCCCTTGATGAAGCAAATACCTTTTGAACTTAGAGGTCACAAGTCGGTAATCTGTTTAAAGCTCGTTTTAAAGCTCAAGATATGTCCTGACTTATTCTATTCACGCACTTTGCTACAGTGAGTGTACTGCCAGGTGTGGCTAAGGGTGAGCTCAACTGGCTTGGGAATTCCTGGCCGTAACAACAGCAGCTAATGAGTAAAAGGCTATTCAGTGGATGTACTGTTATGCTAATGAACTGCATGACTATAGGAGTTGTTATTAAACACACTATTATCTAAGAAGAACTGAAATGTTCATAAGCAAAAATTTAGATCTAACAAGTGTGAGTGGATATCTTATAAATATGTTGAGTAATGTTTTGCATTCTTGTATTCTAATTTGAGCAGTAGTTCTAGCATTAGATATTGCAGTAAAAAATTAAAAGCATAAAAGAATTACATTGCTAAATACAGTATCTGTGTAATGTACAGTGCTGTTGGTAATGTAACTGTTGAAAAATTTCAGTTAGAAATACATCACTGCCATTTATAAACCGGAATGCTGATTTGAGATTAGAATGTATAGTTTGGTATGTATTAAATGTGTATTATGAAATTAAGAATTATAATCTCTAGATCTATGAAGAAATATGGTGATTTTCATATTTTAAACATTATGATTTACATTCTAATATAAAAATATTCCCATAAAGTTTGTAACAAAAAAACTGAGGTAAAAAAATTTGAATATCTGTGGGTCTCAACTCTAGTCCTATTGGACATTTTTTATTTGGGGCATATTTTTAAATATTCTATTTTACAATTTGCAACTAGTGTCAACCCTGTAAACAAGTTTCACAACAACCATGATTAAGGTGTATTGGCTGAAACATAAACTGAACTGAACTGTAGAAGAAAAAAAACATTTATGTCTCCATTCCCATCTCTGGCTGTTCATCATATGATCACCTGTTCAAAGCTATTATGTCAGAAATAGGGATAAGCACAATGAGGAAGTACTACTTAAAATAACATTTGCTCAAATTGCTGAAAACAGTATTCTTTAAGGTGGGTATTTTTGAAACTCTGGAATGAATGCAGAAACAAGTTGACCAAAAGTGTAAACAAGCAAGCGGATTCAAGTCATTAGGTAACTGAAAATTCTGAACTCAGCTGGAGTGAAAACCAGTAGACAATGTGGAGAGTTACAGATATCTCAGCTGGTTTGGTCTCATATCCAACAACTAGTGTTGGTAACCATTGTCCTACAGTGCTTTTTAACTTCTTTTTTGATTGTACACTGTAATGGGAATTCATTTTATGTAATAAACATCATTTATTCTTCAGTGCAGTACTTCTAGTGTTCTGTAATGCTAATAATTGATAACGGCTCAATGTATATATTTTAAATATAGCATAATTAAGGATCCAGATAGACTAAATTACAACTTGGTACAAAAGACTGCATGTAGTATGTATTTTTATGGTGTGGCCTCTGCTGCGTCATCCTGTAGTAAGAAATACTTAAATGTGTCTTCAAAATTGCACAACATGGAATTATTTGTGAAGCACTGTACAATGTTATCCTAGTCGCAGGTTATAATTTCTACAGTAGTTAACATGGAAAGACTTGAGCAAAACAAAAAAAAAAACACAATGCACAGATATATGTCCTTTGGTATGTTGTGGTCTCAGTTACCATTTTTTGTTGTAGTTCCACCAGGATTTGAAGCTAGACAAAGCAGAAACAATAGCTCTTGTAAGTAAAGATAAGACACATCTTAGGAGGAATTAACTGTTTAATTTGTTAGTTAAACAAGAAAGGCATTCCATGAGAACAAAAGAAATGTTTGAAATGAAAGGAAACCATTCTGCCATTGTTGTATGTACTTTGATAGTGCCATTGAGGATTTCAGGTACATGCATCAGATCGTCTCATAATCTTTTCTGTTCAAAACTAAAAGGATTCTGCTTTTACTCTAGGGCATTTCTTTGAGCACATTACTGTTCTCTGGACTCATTTCAGAGTGATTTATTTTGTAACATAGTGAACAAAATATATACAAATATGGAACAGATTAAACCATACTATGTCTTACTAGGCCTGTACACGTTTAGCATATTTAACAGCTTTGAATTTAATTTTGTTGTTTGAATAGTGTGCTTTCTTATTGCTCTGCACATTGTCTAAAAGAGGTAAATTATGTCTACATAAACATCTACAATTTGTCATAGTTTGCTTCTTGCTTGGTTTCCATTTCCCTTATTTTTGTAATTTGTTTTTGCTACCTGCATACAACACACTACACTTGGCTACATTAAATGCCATCTGCCAGGTGTTTGCCCAGTCTGGAATTTTTGTCTGTCACTTTGAATTTGTTCCTGAGCTTCTACATTGTTTGCTTCGTATTGTAGTATCTTGTGTGAGCTTGATTAGTTAGTGAACTATACTAGACTCTAGACCATTGACCTTTATTAGGAAGACCAGTTAAGCAGGGCCTACCTTTGCTAAACCTCTGTTGACTATCCACATCTACCTCTTATGAACTAATTATTCATTGCAGAACTATTTCTTTGTTCGGAGCCTGAGGAATATGGTATGTTTCTTCCTTGGTAAACACATAAGTGAAATATTCATTAAGTGTATCAGCTATTTCCTTGTCTTTGTCAAAAGACTTCATATTTTTGTATCTATGACATATTTTACTTATTAATTGCTGTTCTTATAGCTGTACTTCTAAATAAACATTTTCATATTTTATCCCCCATTTCAATATTTTTTTCTCTTATTCTTCTTGATAATTTGATCATGTTCTACTTATAGCTTTAGAATTTGCCTTTTTTTGGAATTGAGTTATTTAACCATTTGACCCATTACTTCCAAGCCTTTGAACTGATTGCACTTGAATAGTACTTGATTCTAGTTGAATATTCTTAAATTGCTGCCATCCATTCTCTGTAGATGGTCTATCCTATTCTACTTATTTTAAACTTTACCTAATTTCTTCAAAGTTTGCTTTCCTGAAATTGTAAACTCTTTATTATGGCGTCTGTAAAGTTTCAAAATATACTTCAAAGCATGCCATATTAAGAT